TTCATTACTCTGTCAAAAGCAAAAGTATCCCATATCAGCAGGGTGGAACGTACTCTAGATTTGATGGACTTGTTTTGACCCTCAAATTCTTCAGTCGGCCTTATACTCTGGAGGAAACCAGAAAACCCTCCAGCTCAGTTCAAGAATAAGCCTGTGGAAAGTTACTTCTTCAAAAGCAAAAGTATCTCATATCATCTCTTCTCATTTTTCTTCTCTTTATCCTTCATGCTGCTGCAAGATGGGGAGAAGGTGAACAATCAGTCGGAGCTCTGATTGCTTACCTTGTCTGTCACCTCTTTCAGCAGACCCCCTAGCTCGGCGACTTGGGGGACTCCTACTACATGGTTTGTATCGCGCTTGACCAAGCCTGAAACTACAAGTAAGCTTCAAGTGAAATTGATACATTACCTTGTGCATCTCCACCAGTTAAAGATACCACCCCTGGATGGAGGAAGAGTACTTCCAGAGAAGATGCCACATCTACCTATGAGACAGATAAGGCAAGTCAAGACGACACCACACTCCGATACTTAGAAGTTTCGTGATTACGAGATCATTCTCCCACAATATTTCCTAATGTCATTTGTACTAAATCATTCACTTGTACTCACTAAATGAGAGCTTGAACCTATGTACTTGTGTAAACCCTTCACAATTAATGAGAACTCTTCTATTCCGTGGACGTAGCCAATCTGGGTGAACCACGTACATCTTGTGTTTGCTTTCCTATCTCTATCCATTTATATACTTATCCACACTAATGACTGGAGCAATCTAGCGAAGATCACAAAAAAGCGATCGTTTTCGCTACCTAGGATCTATCTTGCAAGAGAACGGAGAATTAGATGGAGATCTCAACCATAGAATACGAGCTGGATGGAAAGAGTGCATCCGGCGTGTTGTGTGACCGTCGTAGGCCACTGAAGCTCAAGGGAAAAATTTTATAGGACGGCAATAAGGCTAGCGATGTTGTATGGCACAGAATGTTGGGTGGTGAAGCATCAACACGTACACAAAATGGGTGTAGCGGAGATGAGGATGCTTCGTGGGATGTGTGGGCACACGAGAAAGGATAAGATTGGGAATGAGGATATCCGAGGTAAAGTAGGAGTAGCCGAAATTGTAGGAAAGATGAGAGAAAATCGGCTCCGGTGATTTTGAACATGTGCAAAGAAGGCCGACTGACGCTCCGGTTCGAAGATGTGACTACGGGACAGAGGTTCAGGGCCGAAGGGGTAGAGGAAGACCTAGGACAACTTTGGAAGAGACTCTAAGAAAAGACTTAGAGTACTTGGATCTAACGGAGGACATGACACAAAACCGAGCGCAATGGCGTTCTAGGATTCATATAGCCGACCCCACTTAGTGGGAAAAGGCTTTGTTGTTGTTGTTGTTGTTGTTTTCAAACGCAATCCTTTGTCACCAAGAACCCTTCAAATAACACAAAATCCACTTGACTGCATCCCAATGTTGCTTTCCTGGATTTGCCATGTATCTGGAAACGACGACACTGACTGCTTGAGCTATGTCGGAACGTGTGCATACCATTGCATACATGAGGCAGCCCACGACATTAGCATAAGGCACCTTTTCCATTATTTGTTGCTCTTCCTCGGACGTAGGACATTGTTGCCCACTTAACATGAAGTGAGCTGCCAAGGGAGTCGAGACTACCTTTGCTTCTTGCATGTTGAACTTCTCAAGAACCTTCTGAATATACTTGGCTTGTGATATTCAGATCTTTCCAACTGTCCTACCTCTTTGAATTTCCATGCCAAGGATCTTCTGTGCAGCACCTAGATCCTTCATGTCAAACTCCTTGCTCAACATCTTCTTCAAGTCTTCAATTCTAGACTTGTCTTGACAAGCAATTAACATGTCATCCACATATAGCAATAGTAATACGATCATCCCATCTTGGAATACATGATAGTACACGCAACAGTCATATAAACATCTTCTAAAATTGATTTTCAGCATGAAGGAATCAAATCTCTTGTACCACTGCCTTGGAGACTGTTTCAGGCCATACAGGGACTTCCTTAGCTGACATATTAGGTTCTCTTTCCCATATTCAACAAACCCTTCTGGTTGAGCCATGAAAATCGTCTCCTTTAGATCCCCATGAAGAAACGCTGTCTTCACATCCATTTACTCAATCTTCATATCATGCTAAGCTGCCATTGCTAAAAGTAATCTGATAGAAGTATACTTGACTACAGGTGAAGAGATCTCATCATAATCCATCCCTTCCTTTTGTGAGTACCCCTTAGCCACGAGCCTTGCTTTGAATCTCACGGCATCTTGTTCATGTAGTCCTTCCTTTTTCCTAAATACCCACTTGCATCCAACTAGCTTTTTGTCTTTGGGCTTAGGAACCAACTCCCAAACAAAGCTCTTGTAAAGAGACTCCATTTCTTTTGTCATAGCACTTATCCAACCATCTTGCTCATCACTTACTATATCTTCTTGATAAGTAGTCGGATCTCGACTAATGTTAAAGAGCATAATTGAACTTTGCATAAACCTCGGATTTATGCTTCATGAAATAAACCCAAACCTTCCTAGAAAAATCATCCATGAAAGTAACAAAATACCTGGCTCCACCATTTGATTTAGTTGGTGCAGGGCCCCAAACATCTGAGTGAATATAGCTGAGTTGCTCTTTGCTTCGGTTATCTGCACTGCTACTTGCGAATGATACCTTTCCTTGCTTCCCGAGAATACAGTATTCACAAAAGTCCAGTTTGCAAGATGACACGCCTTCTAACAGGCCTTGCTTGTGTAATTCATGCAACCCCTTCTGGCTTATGTGCCTAAGCCTATGATGCCAGAGTTCAGTCTTGTCTTCTACACTCTGATTTTCAGAAACAGCTGCTCCCCCGACCATGGTGGTCCCAATTAACTTATACAGCTTATTGGGTTGTAGGTCACCTTGCATTACCACTAGCGACCCTTTGGTTACCCTGAGTCTTCATTTTTTAGACTTGTACCCATAATCGGCCTCATCTAAAGTACCCAAGGAAATCAAATTCTTTCTTAGTCTAGGGACATTTCTAACGTTCCCCAAAGCTCGTATCATTCTAATTCGAACAGTGTCGATTCCTCTTACAGGACATGAAGAATTGTCCCCCATTAAGACTTCCCCGCTGCTGACTTCTTTGTAAGTATCGAACCATTCTCATATTGCACACATATGAAAAGTGCATCCAGTATCCAAAATCCAATTTGTGAAAGCCTTAGAGCCTGATGTTACTGAAAGAAGCTCCCCGTCACTCTCATGCTCGGTGATTGCACTAGCTGAACCTGAGCTTCCTTCCATCTTGGCTTTCTTCTCTTTCCAAATCTTGCATTTCCTTTTCTACTGATCGGTTGAACCACATTTGAAGCAACCTTCTTTCTTTTCCTTTTTCTTTTTGGATTTTGACCTACTTCTGTTGCCGATTTTTTCTTCCTTTGTCTTTTCCCGTCCCTTCTCCTTGCCTTTGGCATAAAGGCCTTGAGAGCTTTTAGTTATATCATCCAGTTTAGCATATGACTGAAGAGCTTGAATTACGTCTTCAAGCTTCAGGGACTCTTTTCCAAACATTAGAGTTGTTCGAAAGTGCTTGAAAGATGAAGGTAGAGACCTCAGCAAGATGATAGCCATATCATCATCTTTGTAAGTTTCTTCGACCTTCTGAAGATTAACTACGCAATTCTGGAACCTGCATACATGATCTTCAATATCACCTCCTAGTCGAAGCCCGAATAGTTCATCTTTTAGAAAAAGTTTATTGGACATGGTTTTGCCCATATAATCATTCTCCAGCTTTTCCCATGCTTCCTGGGCAGTCATCTTTTCGGTGATGTGTGACCGAACTGATCTTGTAAGATGGATCTCGATGGAACTCTTGGCCTTCTTGAGAACCTTAGTCCATGTTGCTTCTGTCATGTTTTCCGGCTTCTCACCATTGAGTGCATCATCCAAATCCTTCTGTATCAGTATGTTCTTCATCATCCTTTGCCAGTCCGTGAAGTCATCATTGCCGTCAAAGGGCTTTAACGCAGGTCCTGGATCCACATTCATCTTCCCTTTTGACTTCGTAGAACACCTTGATCCTAGCTCTTGATACCAATTGTTGAAACACACCCACTAGACCTTGTTCTTTAATGTAACTAACGACAATAGACTAAACTAGCAAATATAGAAAAACTTAGAAACACACAAGAATTATACTAGTTCGGCGGAACTTTTGCCTACGTCCAGTTATGATTTCTCTAGGTAGAGAAATCACCGCTCCTTTGATTAATAATAGAGATTATAGAGCTTTTGCAAACCCTAGAACTAATCTCAAAACTCTCGGCTGTCTCTGGTTGTTTTCTCTCTCTAAAAAATTAGGCCTTGCTGCACCCTATATATAGGCATAGGGTAGGCTTACATGTCCCAAGGCTGATTGAATTCCTATTTCTAAGTGGATTAAGGAAATTACACTTATCCAAATCCAAATAGACTTCTAGAAATCCAAACCTAAATTCAATAAGGAAAACTGAAATTCTTTCCTAATCGCTCTAGGACAAGAATCGGTATACCTCTAATTTTCCTAAAACAAACCCAAACCGACTAGGACATATTTGACGACCCAAAAATCCTAACACTATATAAGCAAGTAGTGAGTATGAAACAATCTATCTAAAGACAAAGATCATGTTAGTTGCATGAACATATGAGAGTGAAATGTTTGATGATTTCATATGTTTTGGTGTAAACGTGAATCTGGGTCTCTTATAAATAGCTAGTTGCTGGTAACAACACATTATTAATTTCTCAAAAGTCTATGAAGGAAACTAATATTTGGAGAACTTTTAAGTGTAAATATTTTAGTTCTGAGTCTCTTTTATAACTTTTTCAGTTCTCAGTCTCCTTATCTATAGAGTTCTCAATCTTCATTCATACTTGACACCACAGTGTGAAGTATTGCTCATCTAATGGCAAAGTCCACTTCTCAATGTTCATGCAGGTTTTTGACTAATTCTTACCTCCGTGAAGAGGCTCCGAATAGCCATGTTGTTGAGCAGCATGTTGAATGGTGAGTCCATTATCCTTTATTTCCACTTTATTAGCAATATGATTCTTACTGAACAATTCAACTTAGTCTTTCTCCTGATCCTATATCATCAGCATGTACGTTCATGTGCATGTTATGTATGTGAATATGATTTTAGATTGATTGAATCTCCCAGAACTAGTAATTTAAATTATATGTGTATTTCTAACTTTTATTTCGATTCTTGTTTCACCTTCTGATCAATTATTTTGTTGTGATTTTGGTCAATTGAAGGCTGTACGCGTTTGATGTGCACTGCAACTCTTTCTTCCCGATGTTTGTTCTGCTTTATGGTAGTTAATACAAAAATATGTTTTCCTTATCATATTTTTATTCTCAAATGTGTGAAATAATGCTTTTGGTGTCTTGGTTCTGCAGTGATCCATTATTTTCTATCACCAATTTTGGTAGCTCATGGCTTCCTTCCTGTATTGCTATCAAATTTGATATTCATGGTGGCCACTTCATACTATCATTATCTCAACTTTTTAGGTTATGATGGTAAGCTAATGATTCCGTTCTGTGCTTGAAAATTTTCATTCAAATGTTTAGGTTCATTCGGTGTTTTGGATGTGGATACAAAGTAATGTTGCTTAAAGGCCAAGATTAATGAATTCAATCATATTTCTAATGAGCGAAATGTGCAATTGATTTGTCAAACATAGACTAGTAAGTAGTAACCATCTAAACGGTTCACCTATGCATTAATATGCATTAATATGTAGAGCTTCCACCACTTGCGGTGGAGATGAGAGGTGGCCAGCATTATAGATTTTTACATTTCAATTCTAGCATTCTCCTCTATAGTCAGTAATATTGAATTCTCTTCAAGTTCTGTTTTTCTTTTCTGGAGTTCTCTTCCAATTAAGTGGGCTCATCAGCTTGTAATGTAACGCAATAACTTTAGATTCGAATGCAACTTGTTGAGTTTTTTCATTTCCATATACGATAAGAACTCTATGAAACATACTTGTCAATGATGTACTTCTTTGTTAGGAACTTGAGTTAGTTTGCCTTTGTGCGTCATACTAATTGCATGCCCTATGTTTTGCAGTGCTGCCCTTTCTGGAGAGGACCACTTTCTTCCTGTATCCAATCAGTGTTGTCATTGTCCTCTCTCCGATCTGTAAGTGTTGCATGAACTCTCTCTTTTGAGTTTGCTTTCCCGTACACCTAGTGTCAAAATTGTTTGTTTCCCGTCTGCAGTGATTTTGAGTGGCTTCAGTCCTTCAAGATACTTTATGAACATGTACTTTAGTCAACGAGTATGGATTTAATTGAGGCAAACATTTAAGACGGCACATATATGTCATGCTTGGGTTACTAATTGAGAGGCCACAACTCGAGAAGGCATCGGCGGATTCTTGATTGCTTATGCATGATATGATTATCAGCAGCAGGTCACATTGGAAAAAGCTTGTGTGGCTTCCGTTGTAGTCATTTTACCACTGTGAATGAAGATTGGACCAACAAAGATAGGGCATCAAGTGTGTTTTGAGAGATGAACATTGATCCCAGAGATGTATCGAATGCTACGATTTGTCTGCAAATCTATGCTTTTCATTTACATAAATTTTTGAAAAATTATAGTCGACGTGTTTTGAAGATTCTGTTCCTGTTGTACCAAAAGATATTTTGGAGTCAATTGAATAGAATAGCTACGGTTCAGCGTAGTACATGTATGGTGAATTAGCAATTGAAGAGAGTTGAGCCATATAAAACAGATTCCTCAATAAACATGGACTTGTGTTTTTCTTCATTTTATTGTTCAAAGATTGCTACCGGCTACCGGCTACCGGCCACATCGACGACGAACCTGTACCTGACGTTGTTTTTCTCCAGCCTCTCGAAAGCTGTGCGGATGTAGTCCATCTGAACCACTTGGATCATAGTTGTCAATCTTCTCTCTTTTGCATAACTGAAGCTCCCTACGCATAATTGCACAGCACAGAGAGTATAACAATCCATCTGTTGCTAGTCAGCCCCAATATGCCCCAAAGCCTCCTCTCTTCTTTTCTGAAGAGCTCATCACCGTCACATGGTGCCCCATGTGTCCTACACCTGCCAGTCCCCAGCATTCCTCCTTTTAATCCCACCCACATTCAGGCCCAAGTGCCCCAGCGGGCTGTACACCGTCACCCCCGCGCAAAGCATTGGCGCCGCCTGTTCTGGCACCATGCCCTCGGGTATCTTCACCGCAAACCTTAACCAAAATAAATAAATAATTACAAATCAACAAGGATGGAGATTCAAACTTTGGAATCTCTTTCAAAGGAAGAGAAATACAATCAGACAAAAATTAGTTAACAAGGTAATATTTGTTTATAAGTGCAGATTCTGGTTAACGGTGTGATGTAAAATATATGGCCATGGTGAGATAACGTTATTTTAATGGATAATGCCTTTTAAGATCATTTTTAACTCTTGGGTTAAAACTTAAAATTTTTAATCTAAAAAAATTAGGTTTTAACTTGGAAACAATTTTGACCATTTTTTATTTTTATTTTTTGTATCGTTAAATTTGATTATATTAGTCGTTAAATTCAATGAATTTACAAATATACAAAAAAAAAAAAAAAAAAAAAAAAAAAAAGAGAAGAATCTACACCGTGGGATTAACCAACAATCCAATGATCCAGCACCATCGGATGTAAGAAAAACCTGTTGGGCGCATAATGGTGGCAAGCACTTCCATGTGCATGGGCCTTGCACTGTAAGGGCCTCGCGCGTTGGTGGCATTGGGCGCGTTTGCACTGTGTGTGTGTTTGTGGTGGTGTCCACGCACACAAGTGAGCCAGGCACACTAACCTAGTGTTGAATCATGGCCCAAATTTACCCTAAAATTGAGTTTTTGGTTAAAACTCATTTTTGGTCTAAGAGTTGAAGCAACTTAAGTTGAGTTTGGAACTTAAAATTTGAGTTTTATCCAACGGTAGGACTAGGTCAGGATAAGCTCATTTCTCCACTCAGTTATAATGAATCTCTACTAAAAAAAAAAAAAATCATGTGAATTAGATATAGGTAGTAATCTAAGGATGTGTTCGTCGACAAAAGCTCACTCTCTCACAGCCAACCAAATGAACAAGTCACACAATCAGCAGAACCCATGACGCGATTTGGATTCTGGTGGTATTGGAATGATTAATGTGCAACTCATGGAACGATTGGGTTTCAAACGTAGTGATTTAATATTTTTTTGTTTTGTTTTTTGTTTCGAATTCTGGGTTGGATTTTTGAAAATCGACTTCAAATTTTGGGTTGTTTCGAATTCTGGGTTGAATTATAGGTTTCAGATTCCGCTATCTGGTTTTGAAAATGGCTGAGCAAGTGAGGAAGAAGTAGATGGGAGAGGCGAAGCAGGGAGAGACAAAGCGGAGTTGATTGGTCTTAGTAGTCCGCCCTATTTTGGGGGGTCTCTCTAAGACCCTTTCGCGAACCCGTTAGTTCATGCGAGCCCCACTTTGTCCCACTAAAGTTAGTCCCCACGGGGAATCAAACGCAGGATTACACAAACACTTAATCTAGTCTAGTCCAGTCCCACTTAGTGAGAGCAAACAAACGCGCCATAAATGAATGAAATAAATCAATGGCTCATCATGAATTTATTTCTTAGTACCTATACGTTTGATTTATTTGATATGTTGAATGTTAAACGATATTAGATTTGAATGATTTTTCCTATTGATGATCTTCAAATGAAGATTAAGAGATTAAACAGTTATGATTATAAATTTCTACGGTAAATATACATTGTTTGTGAGGATAAGCTCATCCCATAAAATTGAGGGAGAATGCAAGTATTACTTTTGGTCAACCACCATTGCACCGGAAAAGCCGCCTTTGGTGGGTTTGCCATAGGTGCAAACGTCAGCGTACGTCCAGATTTTCTTGTTGCAGTATTGCTCATTATCTGTGTTGCAAGGGTTGCAGTTTCTGCAGCAACCAACAACGAGGCCAACTCCTACCACATCTCCTACTCTGAACTTGGTCACATCTGATCCAGCCTCGACCACCTTACCAACCACTTCATGCCTGTTCTCGAGCAACACATATCATAATTACTAAAATCATCAGTCGCACGTGTAGAATTGATCGTGTGCAGCTGGCTTTAGCATTTCTCGTGATAGAAACATATAGAAAAGGAAGAATGATTTATCATACCCAGGAACCAGGGGATAGTGTGACATGCCAAGTTGATTTTTTGCCAGGTGCGTATCGGTGTGGCAAACTCCACAGAATAGGACTTTGATGTAAACATCTTCTGGGCCTGTGTTTCTGCATATGGTTTTAATAAAAAAGATTCAGCTGCCACATAAAATAGATCACTACTACTCACTATATTTACCAAATTTAATAGATTAACGAACATGTCGTAATACTTCAGTTCCAAATACGAGAGAGAACTGAGAAAATCATTTAGTAAACAAATTTAGCGAATATGTATGTCATACAGAAAGGGAGGGACATAAAGTTTTATTACCTAAGAGTGCAGGTGTAGGGTGAGAGAATGCCAGATGCGTCTCTTGCAGCCCATGCTGTTGTTGTTCTCTCCACTTCTAGGTTGCCCATTTGAATTTGTTTGAGAGAGAGAGAGAGAGTGAGAGAGAGAGAGAGAGAGAGAGAGAGGGAGAGGATGGGTTGGCGAGTTTTTGAGAGGAGAGGCCAAGTTTTTGGGTATTAAAAGAAGCACAAAGTAAGGTATTAAATAGAGAAGGAAAGCCAAATTTAGGTTAAGAAGATGGACACCTATGCTTGTCTACTGAAATGAAGAGAAGAAAAGTTGGTTTTCTTTGTTATGGTGACATTTTTTAACTCTATACTTTTGACACGTGCATTGCATTCTCCACGCTTTCATCCAACTGGCAAATGGAAATAGTAACATCTAGATTTTGGTACAATTCTTCAAACAAAACAAAATATGAATTTTTTTTTTGGGTCAAATTATGAAATTGAATAAATGGTGAACCATGTTATTAAATTATACGCTTAAATTTTGATGACGTTAATTGAAAGGTCGAAAGATTTTTGATTTGGTAAATTTTTTACAAAGTTGATCTTCATAAGGTGAATTGTAAAAGAAGATAATAGTTATGATCATGTGCAACATTGCACAATTAGAGAGGGAACTGAGATGGCAGAACGAGAAGGTCCGACTAAGAATGTTCGTAGCATCACCCATGAATAAGTCAACACCAACGAAAGTAAACAAGAAGAAACGAGGAAAAATAGTGACATTTAACACAAATGAAAAGCTCGACTTCAATATTTTCCAGCCATATCGATCATAAAATCCACGTTTTTGGAACGATCATAAAATAGTGACTTCAATAATTCAGGTCTCGAGCGAGTAGGCTCAAATTTAAATAGCATTTGTGGCAGAGTAATTTTTACAATGGCATATAGCTCAAATAATCCATGGGATGAATTAGTGGGTAGTTGGTTTACAAATAATATCCTTACCATCTAATTATGCTGCAATTTCATATCACATGACGTGGCAGGTGAGGTGAGGTGAGGTGAGGTGAGGTGGATACTCACTAATGTAGAATGGCTAGGAGAGATATTCATGGAGCAGCTTGACAAGCGTAAATCAAAGAAAATTCAGTCTTACATGAACGTGTTTCTTCATTTTATTGATCAAAGATTGCTACCGGCCACATCGACGACGAACCTGTACCTGACGTCGTTTTTCTCCAACCTCTCGAAAGCTGTGTTGATGTAGTCCATCTTAACCACTTCGATCATAGTTGTCAATCCTCTCTCTTTGCAGAACTGAAGCACCTCCTCTGTTTCCTTCATGCTCCCAACAAAGCTCCCTGTGATCGTCTTCCTCCCTATGCATAATTGCACAGCAGAGAAAATAAAACAATGGGTCAGTCACTAGTCTTATAAACCTTAAGCAGTTAGGGAATAATATAACAATATACATACATACATATATATATATATATATATGAGTTCTTCATGTTTATCGCTTAGATTCTAAGTTTACCACTTCTGAGTTCTAAAAGACCAAAAATCTCGACTTCAAACCTAAATCTAAGCTCGTAAGATAATTCTACACCTTAAAAATAAGCAGCTCCCCTGAGAAAGGGATTAAAAAGAGACAATTTTGCACACATTTTAACAAGGTTCATAAATAAGAGTGTTGCAGCAAGTGAAAAAAAAAAAGGTGTGCAAATATCATTTTCCGATCGAAAATTTGATTAAACAGCTGCCGGTTGAAGGCGGTGACAGAAGATCGGACTCACCAAGCATGACCATTGGGGAAAGAAATTGTAATGGGGTGTTAATAGCACCCATCAAGATCAATTTGCCGTCAAGTTTCAACAAAGAGAGGTACGGCTCGAGTGGGTGGCCGACGGGCACTGTGTCAATGATGTAATCCAAGGAGTCAGCAGCCTCCTGCATTTTTGTGGCATCTGAGCTGATCAAGTACTCGTCGGCCCCAATATGCTCCAAAGCCTCCTCTCTCTTCTTTTCTGAAGAGCTTATCACAGTCACATGGTGCCCCATGGCCTTGGCTATCTTCACTCCCATGTGTCCTACACCTCCAAGTCCAAGTATTCCTCCTTTTAACCCATCCACATTCAGGCCAAAGTGCCTCAGTGGGCTGTACACCGTCACCCCCGCGCAAAGCAGCGGCGCCGCCTGTTCTGGCACCATGCCCTCCGGTACCTTCACCACAAACCTTAACAAAAAAAATATAAATAAATAAATAAATAAAATTAGTCTGAAATTATTAAAGAATGAATTTGGATTAATATTTTTTAAAGTAACTTTAAAAAAAATGTAGACTATCATAATTTAATTTTATGAATATTTTAACTTAAAAATATTTAGATTCTGATAAATAGGTATTTATATAATTTTTGGGTGAATTTGATTTATGGGCTCATAATGGTGGCCGACACACCCACGTGCGTGGGCCCCTGTGTTGTTAGTGCCTCACAGATTCGTGGTGTTGGGCACGCCTGTGCTATGCGTGTATGTTTGTGTTGGTCGCGTCCATGCGCATAGTTGGGCCAACCTACTAACCCAGTGTTAAATCCAGACGGAATTTGCCCCAAAATTGAGTTTTTGGTTAAAAATATTTATATTATGATAAATAGGTATTTATATATTTTTTGGTGAATTTGATTTATGGGCTCATAATGGTGGCCGACACACCCACGTGCATGGGCCCCTGTGTTGTTAGTGCCTCACGCATTGGTGGTGTTGGGCGCACCTGTGCTATGCGTGTATGTTTGTGCTGGGCGCGTCCATGCGCACAGTTGGGCCAACCTACTAACCCAGTGTTAAATCCAGACGGAATTTGCCCCAAAATTGAGTTTTCAGTTAAAACTTATTTTTGCCCAAGGGTTGCAGCAATTTAGGGTGAGTTTAAAACCTAAAAATTGATTTTTACTCCAAGAATTAGAGTAGGTCTAAGGATCATCTCATTTCTCCACTTAGTTATAACAAATTTTCACCGTAAAATTTTCAAAATCGGGATTGTTCTATCTTCTAATCTTCATTTGAAAATCATATCTACAAAAATAATCATTTGAATCAGATCAGTTAGTCATCTAAATGAATGAAATAAATCAACGGTTCATCATGAATATGCTACTTTGTACCTACATCGTTTGATTTATTTAATATATTAAATGACTAAACGATAAATTTCTACGGTGAATATACGTTATTTGTATGTGAGAGAATAAGCACATCCCATAAAATTAAGGGAGATTGCAAATATTATCCTATTTTTATTAGGCATATTATGCTTTGGTCCTTACTTTTGGTCAACCACCATAGCACCGGAAAAGCCGCCTTGGGTGGGTTTGCCATCGGTGTAAACGTCAGCGTATGTCCAGATTTTCTTGTTGCAGTATTGCTCATTGTCTGTGTTGCAAGGGTTGCAGTTTCTGCAGCAACCAACAACGAGGCCAACTCCTACCACATCTCCTACTCTGAACTTGGTCACATCTGATCCAGCCTCCACCACCTTACCAACCACTTCATGCCTGTTCATGGGCAACACACATTATAATTAATAAAATCATAAGCTGCACGTGTACGCAAGCTGATTCTGACCATTCTTCATGCGTGAATGTAGACCTCACAAAACAGGAACGGCCAGGATCAGGTGTGAGCGTCTGGTTTTAGCACTTCTCTTGATAGAAACATAAATAAAAGGAAGAATGATTTATCATACCCAGGAACCAGGGGATAGTGTGACATGCCAAGTTGATTTTTTGCCTGGTGCGTATCAGTGTGGCAAACTCCACAGAATAGGACTTTGATGTAAACATCTTCTGGGCCTGTGTTTCTGCATATGGTTTTAATAAAAAAGATTCAGCTGCCACATAAAATAGATCACTACTCCTCACTATCTTTATTTACCAAATTTAGTAGATAAGCGAACATGTCGTACTACTTCAGTTCCAAATACGAGAGAGAACTGAGAAAATCGTTTAGTAAACAAATTTAGCGAATCTGTATGTCATACAGAAAGGGAGGGACATAAGATTTTATTACCTAATAGTGTAGGTATAGGGTGAGAGAGTGCCAGATGCGTCTCTTGCAGCCCATCCTGTGGTTGTTCTCTCCGCTTCTAGGTTGCCCATTTGAATTTGTTTTGGAGAGAGAGAGAGAGAGAGAGAGAGAGAGGGGTTGGGTTGGTTGGTGATCGTCTTTCAGAGAAGAGAGGCCAAGTTTTTGGGTATTAGAAGAAGCGGAGTAAGGTATTAAATAGAGAAGGCCAAAGTTAGGTTAAGAAGTTGGACACCTATGCTTTGTCTACTGAAATTAAGAGAAGAAAAAATTGGTTTCTTTGACATCGGGACATTTTTGAGGTCTATACTTTTGACACGTGCATTTCATCCTCATCGTTTTCATCCAACGCAAGTAGAAATAGTACCATTTAGATTTTAGTTCAATTCTCCGAACAAAACCAAATATGAAATTGTCTTTTGTTTTTGTCAAAATATGAAATTGAATAAATGGTGAACTGTTATAAATATGTAAGAGTTAGAGGGATAATCTTTTTAGTGAATGAAATGAAGCAGGTATAAAATGTCACACTGAAAATAATAACACAAGAGAATAACAAATAAAAGATGGAGGAAGAGATTTCTTTCTTTCTGTTTTCTGCTCTCTTTTGATTGCAATCGAGTGCTCTATTTATAGAGCAACTCGTATTACTACATTTGAAATTTACAACACCCTTTTTGACAATATGATATCCTGCATCCCCCAAAGTCAGTTTTCAATTTGTATGGACATTGAAAACTTCTACCAATGTTGGAAAACTTCTACCAATGCACTGTGGGCATTCATTACCCACTGGTATTTTCAACATGAACCATGTTATTAAATTATACGTTCAAATTTTGATAACGTTAAATGAAAAGTTGTAAGATTCTTGATTTGGTTGATTTTTAACAAAGTTCATCTTCATAAGGTGAACTGTAAAAGAAGATCATAATTTTGATTATGTGCAACATTGCACAATTAAAGGTGGAACTGAGATGGCAGAACGAGAAGGTCCAACTAAGAATGTTCGTAGCATCACCCATGAATACGCCAACACCAACAAAAGTCAAAAAAAAAGAAGAAACGAGGAAAAATAGTGACACTTGACACAAATGAAAAGATCGACTTCAATATTTTCCAGCCATATCATAAAATCCACGTTTTTGGAACGATCAACTCACAGGCTATTCTTGCTTTTAGGAGGGGCCTTTGGCACATGTATCATGCTTCTCTGATGCGATCATTTCTTTCACTATCTTTTGGAAGCTTGCCCAAATTGAGTGTTTCTTTTGGATTCAACCAGTATGGCAGTAGTACACCGTCGGTAACTTGTCTAATAATTGAGGTGTCGAGCGAGTATGCTCAAATTCAAATGGATTTTTCGGAGTAATTTGACAATGGGATAGAGCTCAAATAATCCATGTGATGAATTAGAGGGTAGTTGGTTTACAAATAATATTTGTATTCTTACCATCTAATAATGCTGCAATTTCATATCACATGACGTGGCAGGTGAGGTGGACAATCACTAATGTAGAACAGCTAGCAGAGATGTTCATGGAGCAGCTTGCAAGCGTAAATCAAAGAAAATTCAGTCTGACATGAACGTGTGTACACTTCCTAGTTCAAAATTTTCATATCCATCGCAAGTTTTCAAACCATCCCTACTTAGAAATTCAACTCTCCCCCATTGATCAGACTTCAATCAACAACATAACTAGTCTCCAGTGTGTACAATTGATATGAAATTTTTTACGTAACATGATAATTTTTTGTTTGGAATTCAGACCCATATGCAAAGAGTGCTCTTTGTTTGTTTGTTATCTGGCTATTGAAGTAGTTGGCTTCTCTCGTTTAGTTGCCGACTATTCTTATTTTATGGCTGTGCTCGGGGAGCAAATCGAGATTGGATATTGCTATTGAAGAGGCGATGCTCGGCTCTGGAAGAGGAATTGGATGGGTTGTGTGGAACTCTGGCGGCCAATAAGCACCAATAAGCTCTCCAAGTGAGTTTTAACTAGAATTTAAGAAGAATTGGAAGAAAAAAAATTTCAACTTCAATCATCCTTCTCGTGAGCTCCTAGTGACTCTCTATAATTAATACTAACTCTTTTAATATTATTCTAAACAAATAATTAATTCATATTGGCTAATCAAGGGCTCATAATCATATATAAAGTAAGGAGTACGTTGTTGTTGTTTTTTTTTTTTTTTTTTTTTTTTTTTGTCAAGAAGTAAGGAGTATGGTTGGAGTACCGAATTTTTTTTCTTTTTACAGAGCTTCTTAAATAACATTTTGATAGTTTTAGTTAAAATTTAATTATAAGATAAAGAACATGATTAAAGAGGCTCTAAAACCGCAACAGGTAAGATAATAAGAATAAAATTGCCCAACAGAAAAATAAGTCACTGGTGTGGAAGTATATGGGCAAGACAGAGAGAATGGATTGATTTAGACTTTAGAAACGTATAATCCCATCTCATTGGTGCTCACCAATTAATCCTCCACAAGTTGCCAAAGCTTAAGAAAAAAGGAAAAGTTGCACAGAAGGAGGCCCCTGACGTACATATTGTGCTCTCTATGTTACAAGTGGCCAATACAGTCAAAAGAAAGGGGAAAAAGACTTGAGGGGTTTCACCGTTTCAGAAAAGCAACCATCTTGGGAGGACCATTGGCAAACGGGGCATGTCTTAATATTTTAGAGAACAGCTAAACTCATTCAATTATCTTATTTCCTCACTTACGTTATATTTACATCTATTATAAAAGGTTAAAAAAATTAAAATGTTATTTCTTCACTCATTATTATTTTTAAAATAATCCTTATATAGAAAATTATGAACTTGTCTCTTAAAAAAAGAATATAAGTCACTTAATGCTACCGTCTAGTGGTATTCCTATTAACTTGTAAGTGAGAGATCTTAAATTCGATTCACGCCTTGTTAAAAAAAAAAAGAATATAAACAAATAATATATAAAACTAAAGAAAAATACACGATTGTTTCATTTAAAAAAAAAATCGTCTAACAGAGGGTGAGAGTTATCATGCCCAAACTAAGTTCATTCTTTTTGCTTTATTTGAATGAAAGGAGATGGGACGATGCGTTAGAGTTTAAATGAGACAAATTGTCTAAACAGAGTGTGAGAGTTATTATGCCCAAACTTTAAAAAAAAAAAAAAAAAAAAAAAACGCAAAAGAGGGTAACTAAGTTCCTTATTAGTCATTTTACAAATGGATAAATTTGTGATTAAAAAAGTTCATTGAAAGGTAGTTAGGAAGATAACATATTGGGGTGAGAATAATAATACTCATATTTTAATGTAATAGCCACTGTCATCCATAAGATATTAGTTCAGAACTTTATAGATCTATTTCAATTATAAAAATTATTATTTGACGATCAAATATAATTATATGAATATATGTATTTAATACAATCATTATAATCATCATTTGACTGAGGTGATGATTGTAATTAATTACATATAAGTATTTTAGCCACATCTCAAAATTAAAACTGTGTTTCAACCGACTAAAGAATCATTAGGAACGTCTACTAGTATCGTGCAAGGTTGATTGTAAATTCTGCTAAAACCTTGAAGCTTCAGAATTTCTGGTTAGGCTTATTGTAGCAATGATCATTTAACTCTACCTCTAGTTTAATTTTAGTCCATCTCAAATTAGTTTCTTTAGTCCTTGAACTTAACTATATGTTGCACCATTGATCGTTTTTATAACACCGTCTTTCTTCCATTAAATTCAAGGATATATTAGGAACTTCAACTTAAAACTTAGCAAACAATAGAAGAAGCTAAAAAACAAATGAAAATTTACAAATTATCTATATACTAAAACTCAGTTAGGATGACATTGTTTTTCCCTGTTCGTGAATAGTGAAATGACGGAAATACCTTTTGTTTCTTCTCACTCCCATGTTTTGTTGTTGGCTTGGTACATCAAATTTCTGGTTTTACCCATTTTGGCCACGCGTCACTCATCGTTTAACCCTCTATTTTTGTTCATTTTCCCGATCCTTCTTTCGGCTTCAGCTTCAGCTTCTTTCTTTCTTGGCCACGCGTCGATCATCGTCGAAGGTTCCCTGGGACTTTCTTCCCGACTTTTCCTTCCGTTTCCATTTCTCTCTCTACGGTCTTCTCTTCTCTCCTCTCCTCATCTGTCACTCTTCCTCTGATTCGTATCCTCCACTAAATCGTCGGAGACCAAAGTTTAAATATGGTTCTTGACACCATTTGGACCTCGCAGGCTCGCACATTCTCTTCTCTCTCTCTATCTCTCTCTCTCTCTCTCTCTCTCTCTTTATCTCTCTCTCCACTTCTATTTGGCTTATGTGGTGGCATTCTGAGATCTGGTGGTGGGATCTGACGATCAATGGTGAGTTTTTTCATCTGGGTTTTGCCTCATTGTGGATGATTTTTGCCTTTTGCTATGAAATTTGATTCAAATTTTTGAAAAGTTTAATGCTTAATGTAAATCTGCATCTGGGTTTTGTGTGGTAGATTGACTTAACCTTTCATATTGTGAAGGTTTTCTTGGCGTTAAAGGTATGGATTTTTCTGTATTGTTGGATTTTTTGTGCAGTAAATTGAACTCGACTTGTAAAAATTTTGTTTATACCATATTTAGGGCCTCGTATTTAGACATCGTATAAATAATCGGAGGACTTAAATGTAATTATGTAATAAAGGAAATGGTAAATATGTAATTAGGGGAGGAGCCCTTATTCTATAAAAGGGCCTCCTCACCCTCACAAACCCTAAGCCTTTTCAAACCCCCTAAGCTCTAAGCTCTATCTCTCCCTCTTCAACAGAGAAATATAATACAATCAGTGTGAACGTAGCCTAAACCTTGGGATGAACCACGATACATCTTGTGTTATTTACATTTTATGCAGATTCACGGTCGGATTTACGTTGTACTAAGACCATCCGGTTTTATGCATCAACATTTGGTGCTGTCTGTGGGAAATGATACAAAAAGTTATGTCGGTTCTCTTTCATTTTTTCATCTCCGTCGTGAATCTGCAAAAATTTGCAAAAAAACCCAGAAACAGAAAAGATCCAGATTCACGGTCGGATTTACGTTGTTCCAAGACCTCCGGTTTTGTGCATCAACATTTGGCGCCGTCTGTGGGAATCGATACAAAAAGTTATATCGGTTCTCTTTCATTTTTTCA